TAGAGAGAGTGAGTCCATGCTCTTCTAAAACTCTGCTCAAGAAAGTAAAGAGAAAATTTCTTTTTTCAGCTTAAGAGAAGAAAATGAAGAGGCACTTAAAGCTTCAGTCTTCAGTAAACCGAAAAAGACACTTACACGGACAACGATAAAAGCAAGAAGAAAAAAACTAAAGAAACACCGAGAAGTTGTGTTTCGTGACCCAGACGACCTCCACGACGGTGAGGAACAGCTCCTACGTCTACTGTATGATAATGATGATAATAATAATAATCATGTCCAAGATCTGGCTAAAAGAAGCCACCCACACACACACACACACACACACACACACACATAATATTATACAACACATTAAAAAGATTTTTTTAAACTCGTAAAACTAAGAAGAATCACCCAAGACCTTATGACGCTGGCTGACTCTGCCACCCCCCTTACTAAGACCAGGCCAATAAACTGTCCCTCCACCCCATGCACCCTTCTCCCACCCCCATAACCCCTTCTTCCATCCCCATAACCCCTCCCCACCCCCCCACCAACCTCCACCCCCCATGCACCCTCTCCCCGCCCCCCCATGCCCTCTCCCACCCCTGTATATCTCCCACCCCCATAACCCTCTCCCACTGACACCCCTCTCCCACCCCCACCAACCCCTCTCCCACACCCCCATAACCCTCTCCCACCCCCATAACCCCCTCCTATGTCCTCCATGCACTCTCCTCCCTGGCCACACTTCACGAGGGAGACTGAGCGGCGCCATACACTAAAACCCAACACTAACACCAACAAACTCCAAGAGCCTTTACCAACAAGTCACTGTTGATGCCCCCGAATATAACTCCTTAAATAACTACCCAAACTAAGTAATTAAGCGAACAGAGTAACCTAATTAACTAACGAATCTAATTACATAACTAACTAGCTAACTAACTACCCTAACTAGGAGAAAGTACATGCATGGACTTAACATGGACACTGGTGAAATACTAGACAAACATATGCGGAAACACTTTGTAAATGTCACACACGCACGCACGCACGCACGCACGCACGCACGCACGCAAACAGTATCTCTGCAGTATAGTGTTCCTACTAGACTGAGGAGGTTAAGATGAAACGAACTATTTGCGTTATTTTTCCTAAGCACGCGAGTAAGGAAGGAGGAGGAGGAAGAGGAAGAAGAGGATAAGGAAGAGGAAGAGGAGGAGAAAGAAGAGGAAGGGAGGTAGAGGAGAAAGAACAAGAGGAGGGGGAGGAGGAGAAAGAAGAGGTGGGGAATGAGAAGGAGGAAGAGGAAGAAGGGGAAGAGGAAGAGGAGGAGGAGGAGGAGGATGAGGAAGATGAGGAAGATGAGGAGGAGGAGGAGGAAGTGGGGAATGAGGAGGAGGAAGAGGAGGTAGTGTGGGTGTAGTAAAAGATGAGAGGTCTCAGGTCCCACCACGGAGACTCAGATAATCTCACCTCCTACTTCTCCTCTTACTATTCCTTCTCCCTCTCCACCTCCTCTTCTTTCTCTCTTCCCTTCACTTCCTTTTCATTCTTTCTCCCTTCTCCTCCTCTTCAGTCCACACCTCTACCTCCTCTTCCTATTCCTTCTCTCCCTTCATCTTCTCTTCCTTCTCTCCTCCCAGAGCTACTAAGACCACCCCCCATGCCCTCCTCTCACGGCGTGAAGGTGTGGAACAACTTACCCCCACCCATCCGAGCAAAGACTACTCTCCCTTCCTTTAAATCATCTCTTAAAAAATATCTATTGTCTAAGTATTGATATTTCTTGTATTACCTACCATATATACCTGCTTTTATTGTACCATCAAAACCGTTTTATCGGAAATGATAATGTAAATAAATAAGAAATTACCATTGCAATAAATATATTTGCCAACTAGAAATAATCCTGACAGCTGTGACAACTTTAATACTGTACAACCCATGTTGTACTGCTCCCCCATTATACTTATGTTTTTTAATTCCACTGTAACTTATGTATAATACTTATAAAATAAATGTAAAAAAAAATAAAAAATAAATAAAATAAATAAATATTGAAGTGATAACCGTGGTAGTTTTTATTTTAACAAATTTATTGACAAAGCTTGGAGTACAGTTTGTCTATTCTGAGTAATTCAGTCAAGTCTTGACACTGAGGGTGGTATCACTTCTCACTGCCACGCAGGACAGAGGTTCATACACAAAGACATGTGGACACATTATGAGATGTTCTTACGACCACCATGCTATTGTACTATTCCAGATGATACTAAATGTTACATAATACTTCCTTGAGATAAATGTATAGTATATATCAGGTGCCTAAAAGAGAGCTCAGGTTCTCGACTGGCTCAGCCATGTTAATATTGTTATTATTATCCACTCTGTGTCTGTGTTTTTCTGGCTAAATAAACTGTTTCAATTAAATTAAATTCTCTCCTTCTTCACCTCCTTTTTCTTCGCTCTCCCCTTTCACCTCCTTTCCATTTTCTCCCCCCTTCTCCTTCTCATTCCCCACCTCTACATTATTCTCCTCCTCGTCCTTCTCCCCTTTCACCTCCCCCCCTTCACCTCTTCCTCCCTCCCTTCTTCCTTATCCTTCCCCCATTCTCCTCATTTCCCCTTCCTCATTTTCTCGCTCTCCTTCCTCTCCTCCTCATTCCTCACCTCCCCTTACTCCTTCTCACCCCTCCTCCTCCTCCTCCTCAGCGGGTCTACTGATGTTTCTTTCTTCATCCTAATCCACCAAGTCCGTTCCTCTTCCCTTTCCATCTAGTTACTTCCTTCACAGTCGCTCTGTTTCTTCCGTTTAGTCTATTCCTTGCGTTCCGGTCTGTAGTTTCCGTTCCAGTCGGTCCCTCATGTACTGGTACTATGTTTCCTTTCCAGTATGTTCCATGCGTTCCGGCCGTTGTTTCCATTTCAGTTTGTTCTTTGCGTTCAAGTCTATCATATCCGTTCGTTTGTTCCGAGCGTTCCACCGATTGTTTCTGTTCCAGTCTAGTCCTCGCGTTCTGGCCGTTGTTTCCGTTCCAGTCTGTTCCTTCTGTCGCAGCGGGTGTTTCCCATGCATCAAACAGCCTCTCATTACGTTCCAACACGCGCCCATGAAAAAAAACACGCCGGTCTTATTACTACTAGAAACGGGTTGAGAGAGAGAGAGAGAGAGAGAGAGAGAGACCCGAAATTTCTCCCTTCACCATAAATTCAATTCATTCCTAAGTTCCATCAAACAATTAAGGACAAAAAACTGGCACAAAATAAAAAAATTAAAATAAAAAAATAAATAAAAAAAGGAAAATTCAATGAAAACGTAAATCAAATGAGTTTCTAAATTTCGAGAAAAAAAAATTACCCCCAAAAATATCAGTTGGGAAAAAAATTATTCACGTCACTCTTTAGGGAATAAATTGGTTTTAAATGTACTTTGTGGTGATGATCAGTTTATTTTACTGGTTGATAGCGAGGTGAGGTGCAGAGGAGAGAGGAGAGAGGAGGGAAGGAGTGAAGGAGAAGAGGGGAGGGAGGAGAAGGAAAGGAGGGGAAGGAGTGAAGAGAAGAAAGAAAGGGGAAAAGGAGGAAAGGTTGGAAGAGGAAGGAGTGAAAGAAAAAGAGGGGGAGAAAGAGAAGGAAGGGAGGAGGGAGGGAGGAAGGGAGGGAGGGAGGAAGGAAGGAAGACCAGTGGACCACACGACAGGTAGCACAGGACCGAGAGCAGGTACAGTTGCGGAAATATGTTCCTACACCCCCTGTGGTAACCCGTCTCCAAACGGCACCGTCGCAGTAGTAGTATTACTGTTTATGTCACTTTTTATGAGTAAACGGGTATTGGTGGTGTAACGACGGACGTGATTGGTGGATAAGTCTGCTATAGGTCATACAGGTTGGGTTGGTGACACGGGTGACTGAGCTAAACGCTAAACTTCAACTGTATGATGACGCTGAGGATGATGGTGATGATGACGATGATGCCGATGACGAGCAAATAACACCAACAAATTTGATAATACTACGACGATCACCTACCCAGAGCGCCACTCAGACCATCCGGCACTCAGACCATCCGGCACTCAGACCATCCGACAGTCAGACCATCCGACAGTCAGACCAAATTTGTTTTGGCTTAGTAAACCAACAATAATAATAATACTCGACCTACTTAAAGTATGAGAGACGTGACCAACCTGAAGATGAAACGTATTAAAAAAACAAGAGATTTACAACATTAATGACATGTCCCTGAGGTCAAGATGTCAACACGGGTACAAGTTTAGAGTGGATGGGTTTGAGTGGTGGGTTTGAGTGGGTGTGTGTTTCAAGTGGGAGTAGATTTGAGTGGGCGTTGGCCTCTCATGGGTCGCTGGTCTCGTAACTTACAAATATTAAATTGAAACAGTTTATTTAGCCACAAAAACACAGATACAGAGTGGATAATAATAACAATATCAATATGGCTGAGCCAGTTGAGAACCTGAGCTCTCTTGTAGGCACCTGATATATACTGTACATTTATCTCAAGGAAGTATTATGTAACATTAGGTAACATCTGGAATAGTACAATAGCATGGTGGTGATAAGAACATCTCATAATGTTACCACGGTTATCGCTTCAATATTTATTTATTTTATTTATTTATTATTTTTTAATTTTTTATATATTTTTTATATTATAAGTATTATACTTAAGTTACAGTGGAATCGAAAAAACATAAGTATAATGGGGGAGCAGTACAACATGGGGTGTACAGTATTAAAGTTGAACAAGAGGACAGAGCTGTCAGGATTATGTCTAGTTGGCAAATATGTTTATTGTAATGGTAATTACTTATCTATTTACATGATAATTTCTGATAAAACGTTTTTGATGGTGCAATAAAAGCAGGTACTGTAAATATAGTAGGTGTTACAAGTACAGCACCAACCTCACAGTTACAGAAGTCGTCCTCAAGTTACCTAAGCCGACCTCAAACTCATACCAAAGCCGACCCCTCACTCAAGCCGAGATTTCCCACATGACGTCAAAAAATTTGGCAGAAGAGAGAGCCATCAACCCTGCACCGCCGCTACAAAACGCGATCAGACTCCTGTCCACCACCGCCGCCAGCAGACGCCTGCCCGTCAGCAGACGCCTGCCCGCCACCAGACGCCTGCCCACCACCAAACGCCTGCCCGCCACCGCTGCCACCAGACTCCTGTCCACCACCGCCGCCGCCAAACACATGCCCGCCACAGCCAACATAAGAGGCCTGCCACCACTGCCGCCACCAGATGCCTGCCCTCCACTGCCGCTACCAGACGCCTGCCCACCACCGCCGCCACCAGGCCTGCCGCCACCAGACGCCTGCCCGCCACTGCCGCCACCAGACGCCTGCCCGCCACTGCCCGCCACCAGACGCCTGCCCGCCACCAGACGCCTGCCCGCCACTGCCGCCACCAGACGCCTGCCCGCCACCAGACGCCTGCCCGCCACCAGACGCCTACCACCACTGCCGCCACCAGACGCCTGCCCGCCACCAGACGCCTACCACCACCACTGCCGCCACCAGACTCCTGCCGCCGCCAGACACCTGCCCGCCACCAAAGACACCTGCCCGCCACCAGACACCTGCCCGCCGCCACAAGACGCCTGTCACCACCACCACCGCCACCAAACGCTTGCCCGCCACAGAACCTGCCGCCGCCACAGACGCCTGCCCGCCACAAGACACCTGCCCGCCGCCACAAGACGCCTGTCCACCACCGCCGCCACAAACGCCTGCCCGCCACAAGACGCCTGCCCGCCACAAGACGCCTGCCACCACAAGACACCTGCCAGCCGCCACAAGACGCCTGTCACCACCGCCGCCACAAGACGCCTGTCCCACCACCGCCGCCACAAGACACCTGCCCGCCACCACAAGACGCCTGCCACCACCGCCACCAGACGTCTGCCCGCCACAGACGCCTGCCCGCCGCCACCAGACGCCTGCCCGCCGCCACAGACGCCTGTCCACCACCGCTGCCACCAAACGCCTGCCCGCCACCACAAGACGCCTGTCCACCACCGCCGCCACCAAACGCCTGCCGCCACCACAAGACGCCTGTCCACCACCGCCGCCACAAGACGCCTGTCACCACCGCCGCCACAAACGCCTGCCCGCCACCAGACACCTGCCAACCACAAATGCCTGTCCACCACCGCCGCCACCAAACGCCTGCCCGCCACCCGGCGCCTGTCACCACCGCCGCCACAAACGCCTGCCGCAAACGCCTGCCCGCCACCAGACACCTGCCAGCCACCAAACGCCTGTCCACCACCGCCGCCACCAAATGCCGCCACCAGACGCCTGTCAATACCAGACGCCTGTCCACCACCACCGCCGCCACCAAACGCCTGCTCGCCACCAAACGCCTGTCAGCCACAGGCGCCTGTCCACCACCGCCGCCACCAGACGCCTGCTCGCCACAGACACCTGCCAGCCACCAAACGCCTGCCCGCCACCAGACACCTGCCAGCCACCAAACGCCTGCCGCCACTAGACGCCTGCCACCACCAGACGCCTGCCCGCCACCAGACACCTGCCCGCCACCAAACGCCTGCTCGCCACCGACGCCTGTCCACCACCGCCGCCACCAGACACCTGCCAGCCACAAACGCCTGCCAGCCACCAAACGCCTGCCCGCCACCAGACGCCTGCTCGCCACCAAACGCCTGCCCGCCACCAGACACCTGCCCGCCACCAGACGCCTGCTCGCCACAGACGCCTGCCCGCCACCGAACGCCTGCTCGCCACAAACGCCTGCTCGCCACAGACGCCTGCCGCCACCAGACGCCTGCCGCCACCAGACGCCTGCTCGCCATCAAACGCCTGCTCGCCACCAGACGCCTGCCCGCCACAGACGCCTGCTCGCCGCAACGCCTGCTCGCCACAGACGCCTGCTCGCCACCAGACGCCTGCCCGCCACCAGACGCCTGCCCGCCACCCAGACGCCTGCCCGCCACAGACGCCTGCTGCAGACACCTGCCCGCCACAGACGCCTGCTCGCCACCAGACGCCTGCCCGCCACCAGACGCCTGCTCGCCCGACGCCTGCCGCCACCAAACGCCTGCTCGCCGCAAACGCCTGCTCGCCACCAGACGCCTGCCAGCACCAAACGCCTGCTCGCCACCAGACGCCTGCCCGCCACCAGACGCCTGCCAGCCACCAAACGCCTGTTCGCCACAGACGCCTGCTCGCCACAAACGCCTGCTCGCCACAAACGCCTGCTCGCCACCACGACGCCTGCCCGCCACCAAACGCCTGCCCGCCACCAAACGCCTGCCATACCAGACACCTGCCAGCCACCAAACGCCTGCCACACCAGACGCCTGTCCACCACCGCCGCCACCAGACACCTGCAGGCCACCAAACGCCTGCCCACGCCACCAAACGCCTGTCCACCACCGCCGCCACCAGACGTCTGCTCACCAGCCTGCCACCGCTGCTACCAGACCCCTTACCTGCCACCATCGCCTCCTTCATTTTAATTCTAGATTTCTTAATTGAATTTCAAATTTGAATATATATCCAGAAAGAAAGACGGATGGGAGGGAGGGAGGGAGGGAGGGAGGGAAAGAGGGAGGGGGGGAGGAGGAGGAGGAAGAGGAGGAGGAAGAGGAGGTACTTGAGGCCAGCCTTCAAGTTCCCAGCGTTGGTAAAGAAACAGAGATCCGTCCCGGGTATATTAAACTTAAGACCACTTGATGACCACAACTGAGAGTCTCGAAAGGTCGCAAGTGTATAAATGTACGCAGTTAGTTACGACAGTTTTAAAAAGTCGCAAGTGTACAAGTGAACGTAGCTAATACAACAGCCTTAAAGGGTCTTAACCTACAGTAGCCAAACCTAAGCTAACCAAACAGACCCCAACAAGGCCAAACCAAATCCAACAAAACCTAACCTAACCAAGCCGAACAACAAAACTCAACCCATCATAACCTAACCTAACGAAACCAAACCCAACCCAACCCAACCCAACCTAACCTAACCTAACCCAACCTAACCCAACCTGTTCTGGTAATACTGTAAGAGTGGGATGCTCTTTTTAGTCTTCTGTTAACTAAAATGTCTGTAAATTCTAATCGACTGTTGAATATAAATGTACAGTAAAGTCAGCCTCAGGAATAAGTATACTGTAGCTGACTTTGTTTACAGGTGAGGTACTCCTTCAATACTCACCTCCTACATGTGTCGTCTTCCTCCTCCTCCTCCTCCTCCTCCTCCTCCTCCTCCTCCCTCCTTTCTTCAATCCTCCTCCTCTTCCTCCCACACGTAATGTCTCTCCTCCTCCTCCTTCTTCTTCTCTCCACCCCTCATTTTCCTCCCCTTCTTCTTCCATCCCCCTCATCATCACTCTTCTTCCTCCACCCCTCATCCTCTTCCTCATTTCCCTCACCCTCCTTCCACCCCTTTTATCTCCCTCCTTCTCCTCCTTCTATCTATCACCAAGGCCCTTCAACTTACATCACAGTCTGTCTTCCTCAAGTCCCTCCCAACACACTCCTTCTATGTCAACTTAGGGTCTTCCTCCCCCTCACCGCCCTCCCCCTCCACCCATTTATCAACTCTCCGCCCCAGTCTCCTTCCCTCCTCCTCCTCCTCCTCCTCCACCCTCGCACGTCTTCCGCCCACCTCATTTGACATTCCTCCAGTCTTCCTATATCCTGCCATCTCAGTCTTGCTATCCTGCCACATGAAAAATATACTGTAGTCATATATTGAGGTCTAGATACAGTATATACATATAATCACATTAATAGATTCACATATAATTACATATAGATACACATACAGTCATACGATGAAATGTCATAGTCACATATATGGATTCACATACAGTGACGGATGGAATCACAGTTACATAATTATAGAGTCACATATAGAATCACATGAAATGACATACTGTTACACATATGAAATCACACATATACTCATCACCCTCTTCAGCTTAATCTCTCATCTATCCATCTTAACACCTGTCAATCTCCATCATCAACCCGCTAATTATATTCAACTTCGATCAACCAACTGCCTTAATTACAACCAATAAATTCAAACTGTAATCTATTAATATATTCTGTTATCTTAAAGTTAGGTGGCATATATTAGGCCGCAGGATGACGGGGAGGGCGGAGGATGGGGAAGGGGGGGGAGATAAAGAATCGGAAGGGAAGAAAAGGAGGAGGGAGGAGGAGGGGGGGAGGAGGAGGATGAGGGGTGGTGATTGATTAGCCCAAATAGTTATCACACAGGTAATACACAGTTAAATAATCAGGTGTTAATTACTAGCACAGGTACGTTAGTGACTATTCAAATGGGCCCCCAATTCCAATGGGTTCGAAACCCCAGCTAACCCATTAAACCAGTGCCCAGTTTTAATAGGCACCGAACCAAATGTGCCAGAGGGGTTGAGTTGGGTAACAATTAGTGAATATTAAGACAACGTGGTGCTGATAATTGATCATTAGGGCTATTAATGATTACAGTCAGGTACACACAGGTCATTATGAGGCCAGGTAAACAGGGTTCATTATGAGGCCAGATTAACAGGCATCATTATGAGGCCAGGTAAACATAGGTCATTATGAGGCCAGGTAAACACAGGTCATTATGAGGCCAGATAAACATAGGTCATTATGAGGTCAGGTAAACACAGGTCATTATGAGGCCAGATAAACAGATTACTATGAGGCCAGGTAAACATAGGTCATTATGAGGCCAGGTAAACACAGGTCATTATGAGGCCAGGTAAACACAGGCTATTATAAGGCCAGGTAAACACAAGTCATTATGAGGCCAGATAAACATAGGTCATTATGAGGTCAGGTGATCCATCTTGGGTGGGGAGCAAGAGACGTGTCATCATTCTGACTTATTACATGCTAAATGATGCACCTCTCTCTCTCTCTCTCTCTCTCTCTCTCTCTCTCACTTGCCTAAATGGTGTCAGTGGCGGTAGTAACACTTGAAATGTGAGATTAAAAACTACTGTCACCTCACGTCTACCGCATCTCAGCTTGGTGGTTCCGAATGGTTAGTTGAGGTGAGGTGAGATGAGGATGCGGGCCAGTAGGAATAGGGTTTCTTAAAACTGGGCCCGTCCAATAAGGTAGGGGAGGAGGTGGGGCTCAGTGCATGACAGCTGGGTATGTTCGGTACACACGCTGATGACAGGTTCACGCCCTTATGACAGGTGCAAGCCTTTACGACAGGTACACGCCTTTATGACGGGTACACACCCTTACGACAGGTACACGCCCTTATGATAGGTGCACGCCTTTATGACAGGCACAATCCCTTGTGACAAGTACACGCCCTTATGACAGGTACACGCCTTTGTGACAGGTACACGCCCGTATGACAGGTACACGCCTTTGTGACAGGTACACGCCTTTATAATATCCCGGGTGGAGTTACCGTGAGGGTGGGCGATGATGTGGGCGAAGGAGTTGGGTGTTTAGGTGTGAGAGAGAGAGAGAGAGAGAGAATATTAATCATCAATCACAATGGGCGAGTGGGTGGGCACCAAGACCACCCGCGTAGTGATGAGCGAGGCAGTAGGCGTTAGTGGGCGTCACAGTGGGTGGCAGAGTGGGCGTGCGGGCGGTGGTGGTGGGCGTACATCAAGGCGCGGCGGTGTACCACAAGGACATGGTGGGAGACGCCACACCTGCCCACCTGATGCTAATATCCTGACACACACCTTAGGGGAGGGGAGAGAAGGGGAGAGGAGGGACGAAGGAGGAGAGGGGAGAGGAGGGGACGGGGAGGGGAGAGGGGGAGAGGAGGGGACGGGAGGAGGAAAAGGGCAGTGAGGAGGAGAGAGGGAAAGGAGAAAAGAGGAGGAGAGGGAAGAGGAAAGAAGAGGAGGAGAGGGATAAAGAGATAGGAGGGGAGGGAAGGAGGGGATGGAAGGAAAAGAGGAAAGGCACGGAGAGAAGATGGGAGAGAGAGGAAGAGAGAAGATGGGAGTGGGATAGAGAGGGGGAGGTGGGCGGGAAGGAGGAAGGAAGAGAGGCAGAGGAGAAAGAATGGAAGGTACCTGAAGGTGCGTCGCAAGAGAGGGAGAAGGGAGGAGAAACAAGAGAGAGAGAGAGAGAGAGAGAGAGAGAGAGAGAGAGATTGTGTGTGTATGCGTGTGTGTGTGTGTGTATGTATTTCTGCTTGCCGCTAAGGGAGGACAAATCCCTTGCCTCGCCACAACAAAAACCAAGAGGCCGTAACTCAGGACAATAAACGCGGAAAATGCTGGTTATCGAAGTCTTCACCGATCCTGTTGTGATGCGTCCACACACCGAGTCTACTTAAAATACACGGTTATTTCTTCCAGTTACTGTATACACAATTTACCTGACGAAGGAAAGAAAGAAAGAAAGAAAGAAAGAAAGAAAGAATGTATTCGTTTAGTCCTCCTCCAAGAAAATCGAGGAACTACTGAGGTGGTTACTTCAACAAGGTCGTCTTTCACCGCATCAAGTCTTGGCCTTTCAATATACGTGGTCACTCTAACCTCTCTCTCTCTCTCTCTCTCTCTCTCTCTCTCTCTCTCTCTCTCTCTCTCTCTCTCTACCAGTACTATTTCACTCTTTGACGACGATGGGTTAATCCGTTAAGAACACAGGTAAAACTAGCCTCAAGCTTCACCACAGTGTATCCCTCTGGAACCACGCCATCTCTCCTCCCTACAATCCTTGTTCTGTCTTCCTCCTTGCTCTCTTTCTTTCCCTCTCTCTTTCTTTCCCTCTCTCTTTTCTTATCTGTTTACCTCTCCTTGAATTTCTCTCCTTTTTACTTTCCTGCTCTCGCTTCCTTCCTTTTTCCTCTCCTTCTCTCCTAGCTACTATCCCTTCATTTCGTTCCCTCTCTCTCTCTCTCTCTCTCCTTCCTCCCTAACTCTCTCCCTTGTTTCCTGCCTCCATACTCCTCACCCCTCTCTTCTTCCCTCCCTGTCTCTATTCATCTTCCTCCCTCTATCCTTTACTGCTGTTATCCCCTTTCCTTCACTCCCTAACCATCCTTCTACCTACCAACCGCCTTACCTCCTTCCCTCCCTCCCTTCCTCTATCTTATTCTCCCTCCCTTCCTCTACCTTATTCTCCCTCCCTTCCTCTACTTTATTCTCCCTCCCTTCCTCTACCTTATTCCCTCCCTCCCTTCCCTCTCTACCTTATTCTCCCTCCCTCCCTCTGCCTTATTCCTCCCTCCCTTCCTCTACCTTTTATTCTCCCTCCCTTCCTCTACTTTATTCTCCCTCCCTTCCTCTACCTTATTCTCCCTCCCTTTCTCTACCTTATTCTCCCTCCCTCCCTCTACCTTATTCTCCCTCCCTTCCTCTACCTTATTCTCCCTTCCTATCCACTCATCTATAAACTTACCTCCATCTATCTCCCTCCCTCCCCCACCTTTCTCCCTTACTCCCTCCCTGCTTCTATCCATCTTCGACTCTCCCTCCCTCCCTCTACCACTCTACTTCCCATCTACTTACGTTCATCTACTTACCTCTTGGG